TATATATAATTGCATTGGTTTATAAATACATATACTGTAATTTATCTACTATTCAATTTTTTATTTACTCATTGGTTCATTTATTTGTTCATTTGTTTTTTGCTTGTTCATATCCATCCATCCATCTCTCACTCTTTGGATTTATTTATTCATTTATTTATTTATTTTAACGAATGGAACCTTATTGTGAAGCCTTAACATTGTTTTTAAATTATTATTATTATTATTATTATTATTATTATTATTATTATTATTATTATTATTACAATAATGAAATTACTTGTGCAGCTATTATGAACTTTACATGTAAATGTTAAACATACTTTGTTGGGATCCATTCTCATTTTTTCATTGTTGGCTTTGGAGGCTCTCTCTGCAGCTTTCTTCTGTTGCTGTGGTCCCCTGCCAAAGAAGATGTAGTTGACCAGCGCATACTCCAGCAGAGCCAGGAAGACGAAGACGAAACAGCCCATCAGGTACATGTCAATGGCTTTGACATATGGAATCTTCGGAAGAGTCTCCCGCAAATGTGTGTTGATGGTGGTCATGGTCAGCACAGTGGTGATGCCTGTGTTCAAAAGGAATTCACTGTTAGGGGGACATAAGACACATAGTGTAAAACCCAAAGATAAATACTTGTGATATTTTTACATTTAACATATACACTGTAGTACAGTAAACAAATTTTGATGTAAATATTTTTTTTATTATGCAAGAAAGAACATTAAAAAGATACAGTATGAACAAAGAGACAAAAAGAGTTACATAAATAAAACTCCAGCAAACTAAACAAGTTTAAATGATTTACACCAAGAAAGAGTTTTACATGCAATGTATTTGTATGAGTATTTTAAAGAGTTCACATATAAATCAAAGTCCTTTTCTTAAAATAAAAAAGGTGTTTCTTTGAACATTTATTGATGTAAAAATTAGCCAAAAAAAGCAATAAATTAATAATAAATTTACAATGTGAAGGATCTACATTAAAAGCATACAATTTTTGGGGAAATACAAAAGTTTGAAAATAAGATTATTTTTTTAATTAAATTAGAAAAGTCAACCCAAAACACTTTACAGTAAATGCACTTTCAAAATAAACTATTTGGTGTTTCATTATACTGAGTACAAAATGAGCATTTAGGGGAAATATTGTTATTGAGTTTAGCTAGTTTGTTATTTATTGGGTAGCAATTATGAATGATTTTGATCGTTACTTTAACAGCTTTATTAGATAAAAATATATGTATATTTTCCTCCATAGAAGCCAACATTGAGTCCAATTAATGTCAACAAATATATTATCCCAAAAAAAAAACTATGCAAACAGGTAAAGAGATCTGAGAACTACTAATAGCCAAGTGAATATCTTTGTTTGACATATTACTGAGAAGAGTTTGGTCAACAAAAAGGTTTGTGTTGTCAAAAATAAAAGAGTCTAAAGAACGTTTGGGGCCAGATTTGAGTAAAGGTATAACACAATCAGGGGTTGCACCAAAAACTATGGCATAGTCTTTGGGGGGAGATGTAAATGAATTGTATCTGTGTCCTTTAAAGCTATTTGTATGTCAAGTGGGATTCAAAAATATGTATACATTTTCAATTGAAGTCAGAATTATTAGCTCTTACAATTGGGATCAACAACAAGTCATGTAGTATATATACAGTTGAAGTCAGAATTATCAGCCCACCTTTGAATTTTTTTTTCTTTTTTTTATATTTCCCAAATTATGTTTAACCGAGCAAGGACATTTTTACAGTATGTATGATAATATTTTTTCTTCTGGAGAAAGTCTTACTTGTTTTATTTCGGCTAGAATAAAAGCAGTAATACATTTTTTAAAATCCATTTTAAGGACAAAATTATTAGACCCTTTAAAGCTATTTTTTTCCCCGATAGTCTACAGAACAAACCATCATTATACAATAACTTGCCTAATTACCCTAACCCCCATAGTTAACCTAATTAACCTAGTTAAGCCTTTAAATGTCACTTTAAGCTGTATAGAAGTGTCTTGAAAAATATCTAGTCAAATATTATTTACTGTCATCATGGCAAAGATAAAATAAATCAGTTATTAGAAATGAGCTATTAAAACTATCATGTTTAGAAATGTGTTGAAAAATCTCTCTGTTAAACAGAAATTGGGGAAAAAAATAAACAAGGGGTCTAATAATTGGAGGGGGGGGGGTAATAATTCTGACTTTAACTGTATATAAAATGCTGTCAAACTTACTGTTAAACAAAACTTGGGAAATATCTGATATCTACCAAACATTTCAAAAGAGGGCTAATAATTGTTCTGAAAGAAAGTCTTTTAAATAACATCCTTTTTAAGTTAATTTGAACATGAATCTTGCTTTTAATACTAAAAGAATCACCCTAAGCCTGTGCTCATTTAAAACGCTCAGTAAACATTTGAGCACCTGTGAGGAGGCTTCAGCTAATTTTTTTCTTTCCCGTCGATGATTCAGAATCTTAAAAATATGTGTTTTTGTTGCTCTCAGATGGCAGAGTGGGAGTTAGGCATGTTAATCTGTGAAACACAAAGCCTGTCTAACCAGTGCTTCTATTATTGCATTGAAATATTCATTCGGTCTCATTATGACAGCTTTCCCGAAATTCCGTGACAGGTATTACAGAGCGTATGATGGACAAAGTCATTATTCTTCATAAATCGTGTGTTGTTATGATTCACGCTGCAACAGATGCTAAAGACGTCTGTCATAGAAAACGCTTTCTCGAATGAAAATTTTACCCGGCTCTGATTTTTTTCATCATCACGTCTTTTGGCTGCTAAGAACAGGAAATATACACTCACTGGCCACTTTATTAGGTGCAACTTACTAGTACCAGGTTGGACCACCTTTTGCCTTCAGAACTGCTTTAGTCCTTTGTGGCATAGATTCAACAAGGTGCTGGAAAATTCCTTAGAGATTTTGGTCCCTATTGACATGATAGCATCACACAGTGATTGGCTGAATAGAAATGTGCGTTAACGAGCAGTTGGATGGATGTACCTAATAAAGTGGCCGGTTAGAGTAATTTGCACTGCAAAGAAAAGGCCACACAGTCAATTTATGTTCGTAAAACTTGAAGGAATTAACGCATTATTTATTACAAAATTACGTTTATTGAACACAAAACAATTACGCTGAGCTAAAAATAAATAAATAAATAAAAATCAAGAATTGTGTTGTTTCAGCTCATTTTAAATGAGTAAACATAAAGACAATTTTTTGATTGTATCAAATCAATACAGACACAATTAAACTTGAACAATAGCACAGCTCATTCCTTTAATTTTTTACAGTGTAATGTCACATCTACTACCATAATACAGATGCGCGCGTGTGACAAAATCCTTTATGAACCTAATCAGACTGGGCTTTAAACACTCGTATTTGCTCATCCTATATATCTACAACACACTCTGTCTTCTGTTAAATGCTACAGCGGTTTGCACTCATGTGGATGAATGAGAGCAGGGCAGACAGCAATCACAAAGAGTGCTCTTATATTCACACTGAGAAGCCCGCACGCTTGATGCCTACATCAGCCTTACATAATCACTGATGACAGGGAAAAAGAGGGGGCTTTAAAAAAAAGAAAGACATATAGAAAATGTGTGTTAAAAAAATGAACAAATCAAATCAGTATAAATGTCTGTCAATATGCTTGATTACAGATCTTGGGAGAGTATTAGGGCTGAAAAAAAAAAAAAAACTGGTATTCCTGGTAAATCTGGAATTTGACCAAGTTATAGGTCATTTAAAGAGGTCACTAACTGTTTATATACTGTTCTATGAAGTCTACTTATAATTTTATCGAGATTTTGAGCAGACTTTGGGCAGGGATGGATGGATGGATGGATGGATGGATGGATGGATGGATGGATGGATGGATGGATGGATGGATGGATGGATGGATAGATAGATAGATAGATAGATAGATAGATAGATAGATAGATAGATAGATAGATAGATAGATAGATAGATAGATAGATAGATATGCACGCAGACGGAAAGAAAGAAAGAAAGAAAGAAAGAAAGAAAGAAAGAAAGAAAGAAAGAAAGAAAGAAAGAAAGAAAGAAAGAAAGAAAGAAAGAAAGAAAGAAAGAAAGAAAGAAAGAAAGAAAGCATCTGGATGGATGGATGGATGGATGGATGGATGGATGGATGGATGGATGGATGGATGGATGGATGGATGGATATATAGGCAGGCAGAAAGAACGCATATAGATAGACAGACAGACAGACAGACAGACAGACAGACAGACAGATAGACAGATAGATAGATAGATAGATAGATAGATAGATAGATAGATAGATAGATAGATAGATAGATAGATAGATAGATAGATAGATAGATAGATAGATAGATAGATAGATTGATTGATTGATTGATTCACGTCCCTGACTCACAGCAGCCGTCAGATGCAGGCTGAGTGAAAGAGCTCTAGTAGGCGCAGCTACAGTCTCTGATCTTCTGTGTTGCCAGATCTAGTCATTATAAGCATTGGACTTGTTTTAATACTAAAGTAAAGAACATAAGACTTGTTCTAATACTAACATTGGCATCATTATTAAAGTAATTTGGGTCAATTGTGAATTCTATTAGCAAAACTTTTTCGGGGGACTGCTTTTATTTATTTATTTATTTTTTTGCACTTGCTTTAAAACTTATTCTTACATTGTTATTAATGTATTATGGGTGTAAATATTGATTGAGGTTAGCAAGTCTGAATTCTATTAGCAAAATAAAAATTTGGGGGGACTGTTTTTCATTGTGGCGAGGCAGTGGCGCAGTAGGTAGTGCTGTCGCCTCACAGCAAGAAGATTGCTGGGTCGTTGGTTCGAAGCCCATTCGTGTGGGTTTCCTCCAGGTGCTCCGGTTTCCCCCACAGTCCAAAGACATGCGGTACAGGTGAATTGGGTAGGCTAAATTGTCCGTAGCGTATGAATGTGTGTGTGTGTGTGAATGTGTGTGTGGATGTTTCCCAGAGATGGGTTGCGGCTGGAAGGGCATTCGCTGCGTAAAAACTTGCTGGATAAGTTGGCGGTTCATTCCGCTGTGGCGACCCTGGATTAATGAAACGACTAAGCCGACAAGAAAATGAATGAATGAATGAAAGTTTTCCATTGTTTATGGTAACAATATCTGGCAAGATTGCATCACCAGCACAAAAAAAATAAAACTATAATTATTTTAGTGATGTTACCTCTACGTTCAACAGTAGCATAATTGGCATTGTATAACACATCTGTACAACATAATTTAAACACTGGCCAAGATGTTTTATTAATTTAGTAATTACCTGTTTAACTAGCTACCTACAGCGAGTAATAGTTCAAAATGACCACTACCACCATGTGTGACGCCGCCGCAGGACAAACAGAGTATTAAAATGCTTTAGGTGTTAAAGCAGTTTGCGATATTGCCACCAGGGGGAACAAAGGGACGGCATGTGAACAAATACACAGTAGCTGTAAATACCCTGCTACTTGAAAATGAAGATGAAATAACAAAACAAAGAATTCATAATTCCTTTTTAGTCATGTATACAGCACAATGTGTAATCCCTGGCCATGGGGAGCAAAAAGGAGGCTAAGGGAGAAACTAGAAAGTTTATGATAATATGTCTAAGACCAAAATTTTCAGCATTTTTTTAAATTTATGCACAAAATTATGTTGATTTTAGTTTATATGTTGTTATATGTGTGATATGATTGTGCTAAAATAAGTATAAATGACCGCTGATGGAGTATGTTCCCCGTGACAATGCAAGCAGCAACACTGTATAGTGGATGAACTACACACGAGGAGGTCAGATCAGGAGAGAACACTGCTGTGCTATAACAGGAGACACAGGAGAATGGTAGGTGGACAGGGAGAGGTACAGTAAGTGGAGTGTGTCTGACAGCTGTGTGTGGAGGCGGAACCAAGAGAACAGACAGTGCCAATCCAGGTGTCCAAAACTGAATTGATACATGCTGAATATGCTACACTTCAATGCTTTTCTTGGCTGGTTAAGGTACAGTTCGGACTGAAATACCCCCTAAATCATACTTACTGCATATAGATCCATATATCGGTGAACATAGTTGCCAGCTGTAAGATTGTTTTGTTAGATCAGTGCCTACCTAAAGCGACCCTGGCAGCCGAGGCATCATAGTTGATCCAGAAGGATACCCAGGATAGGATGGTGATTAGGATGGAAGGCATGTAGGTCTGCAGGATGAAGTAGCCGATGTTTCTCTTAAGCTTGAAGCTCAGGGAGAGGCGAGGGTATGAACCTGTTTGAAAATAGTCCAGCAATGAGATTGCGTTAGCTAGATTTATAAAATACCTTTTGTGCAAATTAAATGTTTCGTGAATTTTGTTTTTCTGTAAGACCACTCCCAACTTCCACATTTAGACTTACCTAAGCGTCTTATTGTGTACATAACTCTGTACTGTATGTAATATTCATATCTGTGCATTGAGACTTTGTAAGCTCACAGTATGTAAAGCTCAACACACAATAAATAAATGCAATTTATTGAGTTTACCCATTGTAAGCTTTGTGTATATGTGTGTATGAAAAAAAAAATCTGTGCACATGCTTTGTCCAACCCAGGCTCATTCTGAAAATGTACCAATATATACATTTCTGGAGAGTGTCAAATACATCACAGGAGATACATTTTTTTGCAGTTGTTATTTTTGCGAATCCACCAGAGGTCGCTGTGTATGCTTTTTCAGATCTCACATTTCTCTCGCGAGTGCCATTTGATCCTGCTGTCCACCAGAGGCTGCTGCCGTCTGACTGACTGATTGACTGACCCACCCTCCTCCTACTCTAAACCCAACCAATAGTGTGTTCAAAAGCATCGATTGGCCCACTCACCCACTTTCCTAAAACCAACCAACTGTTTTAAAAAGAAATCTAGAAAAAGAAAAGGTCTCGCCTGATTTTTACCACGTTTTCAGATTTTTATCACATTCTCACCCTGTTATTTACTTGTTTATTTTATTTGTTTGGGTTCTATTTTTGTCTTACCTGCTTTCTGGAAACATTCTTTGCCAGACTTGAACTCTGCCACCTTGATGTACTTGAAGTTTAGAACTTATCTTGACGTACATGGCGAGCTACTAGACAAACAACTGGAATGCCAGCCATACGGACAGAAGCAGTCAGCTGGTAAGCGTGAAAAAGACAGCATCAAACTACCCTGTAGCGTTCATTTGAAAGACTTCTGGCTACATAATTCGCAAGCTATCTCCAGAAATGTATATAGGTCTATGTTTTCAGTATGAGCCAAAGTTGACATTATCCAACTTAATTAACAACTGCTTGCCACAAAACAACAATTAAACACCATTATTTTTCTGAGCCATCTTATTTTATTCATTCTTCAGTTAAAGTCAAAGCTGACAGAAATAAAAATGGCTAGATGAAGCATACACTAACCTGTATATTGTTAAGTCACAAGATGATGGACAATTTCACGCTCTTAACTTTCTAGGGACAGTTAGGGGATTGTCACATACTTCTTGTTCTAACATAACAAAGCAAGTTCAATAAATAAATGAATGTGTTTGATATGGAGGAACTTGACTGGCCTGCACCAAGTCCTGACCTTAACCCAACTGAGCAGCAGTACATTTATTGAACTGAAAATGTACTACATAAGTGACGTGGTGGCGCAGTAGGTAGTGCTATCGCCTCACAACAAGAAGGTCACTGGTTTGAACGTCAGCTGGGTCTGTTGGCGTTTCTGTGTGGAGTTTGCATGTTCTCCCCGCGTTCGCGTGGGATTCCTCCAAGTATTTTGGTTTCCCCCACAGTCCAAAGATATGCGGTACAGGTGAATTGGGTAGGCTAAATTATCCGTAGTGTATGTGTGTGAATGAATGTGTATGGATGTTTCCCAGAGATGGGTTGCAAGTGAAAGGCCATCCTCTATGTAAAACATATGCTGGAGAAGTTAGCGGTTCATTCCGCTGTGGCGACCCCAGATTAATAAAGGGATTGAGCCGAAACTAAATAGCATCAGACAACAGTTTGAAATTACATTTTGTAATCCCACTATAATGTTTCATTAAAAAATGCATCAGAAGATATATTCTTATATTTTTATATCAATTTATTTTGTTCTATAAATACACAATATTTTTATAAAATACCCAAGAAGCCACACGTTTATTTATAGGACATAAATCGGCACAGATTATAAATTTATTTTCTTTATGCTTCAACAATCAGAAAAGCTTTATCTGCATGGTATTCTCCTGCAGCCATCCATCTATCATTCTCTGAATGCATTTGTTGGTATAGGGGGTTTCCTGGAATGTTAGATGATTCATGGCTGAGCTCTCGCCATTGTGGACTATCTGCGTGAGGATGTCTTTAGGCAATGAGCATGAATGAAACATACAACACATTACAGTGAGCACTCCATTAAGCTGGATTTATACTTTCGCATGGCGCCGCGTCGCGCACCTCCACTGACTGCGATTGCACCATGTGAAACGGATGAGGCTTTTATACTCACCGCGTTCGTCGTTGTGATATTCTTTAAAGCAACAGGGGGCGTTCAAAAGAAACTGACCGCAAAGACAGACGGATAAACGGAGAAGTAGGAACTTTACAGAACTACGTCATATCATTAATATCATTCAATACTTTTAAACAAATTATTTTTATTGTTTTTATAAATTATTTTAATCATTATAAGGATTTTTAGAAACATTAAATTTTTTTTTTTAATCAAACTTTGATGCATCAATTGCTTTTGTTCATATCTCGGACAATTGTACCTATTAACGTTTATTAAAATATCAATAAAAGAAGAAGATGAGTTGATTTAAAAATGTATTTTATTATGGCATGAATAAAAAAAGAACACTTACTAAATAAAATAATGATGTTTTTTTTTAGATTTAGCCAGCTCCACAGTTCACACATTACTGTCTGGCTAGTTTCTGTCCTCTACTTATGCTAAAAAGGCAATAATGGTCCAACATTCCTGTCCATTATCACCAGTAAAGCCTAGAAAAACAGGGCATCAGTATATTGTAAACCGGTTCAAATATTCCTTTTCCATTTATCAAAGAAATGATTTGTTCCTTAATTATAGTTTTGTAACTAATAAATTGTTTTAAATTCAAAAATGTACTATAAATATCAGTGTTAAACCCATGACTAGTGGAAAAACATATTTCTGTAATTGTGTACGTGGGTCTCCACTTTTGCCATGACCTCTTTTGGCTTTAACAAACTCATCTCCCAGGTTTTTCCAAACCTTTTAACAAAAACGTTCTTCTTTCTCATGGCTGTTGCTATTTCTAGCCAAGAATTGTTGATAATCTGGTTATCTCTATGCTCAGGGATCATAAAAATGTCTGTATAGGCGTACTGTTTCAGACAAGAGACTTTACTCAAAATGTACTCAAAATCATGTCATGCGCATCCAAAAGCGAACATCCGCAAACTCTGCAATTAAGTCACATTTCGCATCACACCCAAGCGAACAAACAGTAGCGTCGAGTATAAATCAGGCTTTATGCTCACAACACTATTTTTTTGCAATAAACAATAAATAAATATTACTTATCTTTACTGAAATTCAAATAAAGTGAAAATCCAAATATATTTCTCCATAGGGACTAAAATGTTCTCAAGGATGTTGTGTAGTAAAAAGGGCGAGCGATATATATGTGTGTTCCCTGGACTAACGAATGATGCTTTTCTCTCTGCCAATCTCACGGACAAGTCTGGGTTTGGTGGCCTGGTGCCAAGTGTAAAGTTTAGTGAAGGGGGATTGTGGTGAGAGGTTGAATTTTCAGGAGTTGTGCTTGTCCCTTTTGTTCCAGTGAAGGAAAATAGAAATACTTTAGCATACCAAAACATTTTGGACAGTTTCTTGCTCTCAACTTTGTGGGAACACTTTGGGGATTGCCTCTTCCTGTTCTAATATAAAAAGCAAGCTCCATAAATAAATAAATAAGTGAGTTTGATAGGACTGTTTGACTTGACTGGCCTGCACCAAGCCCTGACCTTAACCCGACTGAACACATTTAAACTTTAGACACCTTGTATTAGTGTCTAACCCAGGCATGTCCAAACTCGGTCCTGGAGGGCAGGTGTCCTGCAAAGTTTAGTTCCAACCCCAATCAGATACACCTGGGCTAGCTAATCAAGCTCTTATTAGGAATTATAGACACATCCTTGCAGGTGTGTTGAGGCAAGTTGGAGCTAAAATCTGCAGGACAACGGCCCTCCAGGACTGAGTTTGTATGACAAAGTTCCTACACTACCCTGCTGAAAAATCCAGCTTAAACCAGCCTAGGCTGGTTGGCTGGTTTTAGCTGGTTGACCAGCCTGGTTTTAGAGGGGTTTTGGCCATTTCCAGGCTGGTTTTTTAGCTGGATTTGGCTAGTAAAATCCAGTAAAATCCTGGCCATTTCCAGGCTGGTTTTTTAGCTGGATTTGGCTAGTAATTTTCCAGCCTGACCAGCTAAGACCAGGCTGGAAAATGACCAGCCAAA